CCTTCTCCCTTCCTTCTACCCAGCCCCAGCTCTGCAAGTCCTCACTGCAGCCCCCAGTCGCCCTGGCTCATCTCTGCCTGATGTCTGGGCTCATCTCATTTATTCGCAGAGATGCATTGAGCACCTACTATGTGCTGGGGATTCAGCAGTGAATAAAATAAATGAGGTCTCTGCATTTGTGGCATTCACATTTGGGGGGAAGCAGGTCAGGGGACTGACAAAAAATGAAAACATGCATACTTTTTAAAAATATATTTTTTTAATTAATGTCAGAGAGGAAGGGAGAAGGAGAGAGAGAGATATAGAGAGAGAAAAATCAATGATGAGCAAAAATCACTGATCGGCTGTCTCCTGAATGCCCCCTACTGGGGATCGAGCCCACAACCCAGGCATGCGACCAGAATCAAACCCAGGACCCTTCAGTCTGCCGGCCGATGCTCTATCCACTGAGCCAAACCAGCTAGGACTATGCATACATCTTTAAGCACGAGATGAATTTCCAATTTCAGGTTGGAATCAGTGCTCTGAAGAAGATAGAACTTCGACCTTACCGAGTGGTATCTGACACCGGGTGGTCAGGGAAAGCCTTGAAAGACAAAGAAGAAGCTGGCCATGCGGAAGGTCTGGGGTTCCAGGCAGAGGGAACAGCACATGCAAAGGCCCTGGGGTGGAGCCTTGGGGAACAGCAGTGGGGCCAGCGTGGCTGGAGCGGAGCGAGCAGGGGGCGAGGGGGGAGAGGGGAGGTGGGAGAGGTTGACAGAGGCAGGCCATGAACTAGGAGTCATTTGGATTTCAATACAAGAATGATAGGAAGTTCTCTCTCTGTCCCTCTCAACCCCATTTCCAAGGAAACAGTCTACATACTGTGACCACCACCCTAGGAGGCAGGTACTGTACAGATGGGGAAACTGAGGCTGCGAACACAGATTGAGGGGGAGAGGGGTGGGAGGATCTTTTTTGTTTGTTTTTCTATCCTCACCTGAGGATATTTTTTCCATTGCTTTTAGAGTGGAAAGTGGGGAGGAAGAAGGGAGAGGGAGAGAGAGAAACATCATGTGAGAGAGACTGGTTAGACGCAGTGGTTCTCAACCTTCCTAACGCCGCGGCCCTTTAATACAGTTCCTCATGTTGTGGTGACCCCCAATTTCATTGTTACAAATTGAACATAATGAAAGCATAGTGATTAATCACAAAAACAATATGTAATTATGTGTTTTCCGATGGTCTTAGGCGACCCCTGTGAAAGGGTCGTTCAACCCCCAAAGGGGTCGCGATCCACAGGTTGAGAACCGCTGGGAGACTGGTAGCCTCCCCCACGTGCCACGACCAGGGCCGGGGATCGAGCCTGCAACCTAGATACGTGCCCTTGACCTGGAGTCGAACCCGAGACCCTTCAGTGCTGGGACCGACGCTCTAACCATTGAGCCACCGGCCAGGGGTGGGGAGGATCTTCAGCTCCAGGCTTCATCGCGCCTTTACCCTTTTCCTGGAAAGTGCTTGGGTCGCTGTAAGTTTCTGTCCAGACAAGAATTCGGGGGTTTGGAGCCCCAGGCCCTCCCTCGCCTGGGCAGGCCCCCCCCCACTCCTCTCCCAGCCTCGGGGGTCTGGTCTGTACCCAGCGACCGCCGCCTTCTCCTCCCTCCGC